TGAGGTCTGCCTGTCAGATAGTCAGTAATCCAGGAGATAGTGGATGTGTCTACCCCCATAACCTGTAGCTTCTCCCTCATAAGAACTGGCTGGATRGTGTTGAACACACTGGAAAAATCAAAGAAAGTGATTCTCAATGTGTGAYCAGCCTGGTCCAGATGTGAGTGGGCTCGCTGCAGCAGGTAGATAATAGCATCATCCACTCCCAGATGAGGCTGGTATGTGAACTGAAGAGGGTCCAGCGGTGATTTCACCTGTGGTCTGAGGTCTAATCCAGGACCAGCCTCGCCAGATCCTTCATCACATGAGATATAAGGGCAACTGATAGTTGTTGAGGCCAGATGGAGTCGTCTTCTTGGGAACTGGAACCAAGCAGGACGTTTTCCACAGCAATGGTATCTTCTCATGATGCAGGCTCAGATTGAAGAGATGCTGGAGGATGGCAGCTAGCTGTTCGGCACAGGACCTCAGAACCCTTGGGCTAATACCATCTGGTCCCAGGACCTTGCTTTGATGAAGCCTTTTCAGATAAAAATTAAAAGAACAAAGTGACAAAACTGACAAAAGAAAAAGCAAAGGGAGCTGATCTAACAGCTGCTAGCAGTGGGAATGCGCCCATATTATTTGCCGAAGGACTTTACGTCCGCAACCATTCACTCCACTGTTGAAAGGCTTCAAACTCAACATTCTAATGCTTTTTTAGCCATCACTGGTGACTTCAATCATGTCACTTTGGACAAAAATGTACCTTCATTTTATCAGTATGTTAACTGCCCCACAAGAGACAGTAAAACACTGGACCTCATGTATGCAAATGCTCTGTTTCCTCTAGGATTTTATGTATGTGTATGTGTCTTTGTCTTATGTGGGCTTTGTCAATTATATTAAACACTGTGTTTTGCCTTTAATGTTGAGCTGCTAAACAGTGTAAATCTGACACAAGTGTAATCTGTAAAGGTAAAGTTAGTAATTAATGTCTCCATGTCTTGTTCAGTCATAAGTGTACATTAATCACTGGCATTGTTTTGTGTTTGAACAGCCCACCCACAGGACATTTGATTACATACTAGTTGCCCACAAGGAGGATGATGACACCCATCAAAAAGCTCAGAGACAAAGGGCCTTCATTCAGCAGCTTGAGAAGAAAAGCATCAGCATTACTGTGAGTCTCTTAAAAATACGACTTGACATGTTATTTAATATTATAAATGACTCGAAGATAACCAATTCCTGTGTGTGTCGTGTCTTTGTGTGTTAGACGATTGTTCATGATGACAAAGTGTTTTTTGGCTTGCGTGCTCCAAGTGAGATGTTTGAAGATTACCAGTATCTCCTAAAGGTCTCTGACTCTTGCAACTGGTGTGGAGATGTGAGCGGAGTTGTCACCCAGGCTACCAGGTAACAATTGTATATGTAAGATAGAGATAAATGCTCAGTGAGCACTTCATTAGGAACCCCACAGTAACACGAGGTAGTTCCTGCCTATACTCTGGATTCCACCAGATGTTGTATACATTCTTTTGAGATTTTGCTTCATGTTAACATGAGGGACATAACATAATTTATGCAGATTTGTCAGCTGCACATTGAAGCTGAAGTCATTTACATGAAACCAATTTGAGTTGCCGGTTCCTTTGTGACATGGAGCATTATCAAGCTGAAAGTAGCCATTGAAAGTAGCCATTGCATACAATCCAGGTGAAAAGTCTGATGGTTGAGGCTGTGCATTTGGGCATTGAAAAAGGCTTTGTCAGCAGTATTCAGCACCATAGAAGCCCAACACACTCTTGGGTTTTGGTCAAAATGAGGTTGGAAGGGAAGCAAAGTTTTATACAGACAAATGTTGGGAAAAGAATTTAGATGGATGGTATTTACATACAGGGGGTTGCTGTTAAACTCTACTTCTTTCGGTGACTGTAGGTTAGCAGGTAGAGTGAGTGAGCGTTCCAAAGTTTCCTTGGGCAAGACACTGAACCCCAAATTGCATCTGATGGCTGTACCAGCAGTGTGTGTGTAGGAATAGCTGAAGTGATCATTAAGACTAGAAAAGTGTGAGATAAAAGAATACCATTTATCATTCAACTTTTAAATGTTTCTACAGAATCAGAATTGTCCATTTCATTCTTCATCAGACCTTTATCAACACAGGGGGTGAGTGTGATATAATCTGTGGCTGTGTTAACCACTGGCAAGTGCACAATATTTCATACATTAATTTAACAGGTAACCATAAATATTTTTAAATAATAAAGAGATTTGACATACGATGTGATATAGAACATAATCAACATGCTGTGGTTTCTTGCCACAGAGAACTTGAAGGAGCTGCTGATGAAAGATGTTTTTGAAACTATATTCTGCCTTCACGAGGTGAGTTAGCCCTGAAATAAATTGCTGCCATCCCAACAAGGTGAGTTAGCCTTGAAAGAAATTGCTGCGTTCCCATTTTCCTAACATGACTCCTTTATTGCGTCAAAACTGTAACTCAGTGCTGGACTACTAAGTTTCTGAAGATGAGACCAGATTCAGAACCATACTCATCTTTGTGAAATGTTTATGCCAAAGATGCTCAGTGTACACTGTAATGCTGGACTACTAAGTTTCTGAAGATGAGACCAGATTCAGAACCATACTCATCTTTGTGAAATGTTTATGCCAAAGATGCTCATTGTACAGTGTAAAGATAAGCAATACTCAGCATAAAATATGACATGTTGATTAAATAATTAATTCAAAACATGACTAATATTTAATATTATGTGACATAACAGGTATCACCCACTAAATCTGACCACAAGCTACTTCATCCAAATATTGATTCACGTTTATGTCATTGTGAGTAAGAGTCATCAAAGTGAATACAAAACAAATTAAGATCAGATTTCAGCGTGTTGATGTGAAATTCCTTTATTCGTCGTTATTTCCTGTTGGGTGTGCATTGATTTAATTTTCCATTATTCTCAGAGAAAGAAGCAGAAACAACTGAAGAGAGAGTGGGCTCGATGGTCGGGTCTGTTTACAGGACAACCAGTTAACGACGTCAAGTCAGTGAATCAATGGCAATATTATATTTCCTGTTTTGGCAGGGTGGGGCATGCAGTATTGACTTTGATGGGAGAGACACATTGTCAGAGAGCGAAAACCTCACGTTTAAATGTGTATGATGGTCCATGCAGATTATAAAAAAGGTTTCATAAATTTCAAGAGAAATTGAATAAAAGGCAAATTAATACAAGCCAAAATATGCAGCTGTATTGTATGTGTTCATTATAAAAGAATATTCACGCTTTTTGGACACTTGAATTTTGTTAATCATGCTCATTTAGACATGTATTTTTCAAACACCTGGATGCATTACTCTTTGTAATGACCTCTCCTTTTATCAAGGGACTCTATCTGTACTTTCAATCTCATGATTATTCTCTCATTTTCTCATACACGGTCAATCAGAAACGCAAGTGTAAACTAATATGCCCTTTTCAGTCTTGAGGTGCAAAGGTTAACTGCCGAGTTGTGCATTAAAGTAGTCCTTGTTTTGGGGGGAGAACCCCACGCCCTTCAAATTATGTATGTTTCCAAATTTGTTACCATTAGAACTATTTCATTCACTTGAAAAGTGACAGAATTACCTGTATGTAGAATGAAAAAAGAATGTTTGTTTGTGGCCCTTTGTGAGTGATTTCTGGATCACTTGGCCATCTCAGGAAATCTGTGTTTATCATCAGTCCGATAGAAAATGCGTAAGTGGTTGCTGTCCCTTGAGCTCTTCAGAATTAGGGCTAAAGAGAGGGAAACTTGATCTGAAATCATTGAGTGATGTACCAGAGTCTCTGGTCTGTTGATATGTTTGTTTGTGTGTGTTTTTCCCTCCAGATGTTACTTTGGGGAGAAGGTGGCTCTGTACTACCTGTGGCTTGGCTGGTACACCAAGCTACTGGTTCCAGCTGCTGCTGTGGGTGTTGTGGTGTTCCTATATGGACTTGCCTTTTTCAACACCAACCCTCTCATGTGAGTTAGCTACATAGATAATGTACTGTAAAGCACCTTAAGTGGTCATCAAGACTAGATACGCGCTATATAAATACAAACCATTTACCATAGATGTCAGAATATGTGGTTAATGGTCCTGAAGCATTGGAGAACTGTATTTGTAAAGGTCCTTTTAAAGGCGTTTAAAATCTGTCTAGTGGTACTATCAAAGAACACCTTGCCTATTTGATGTGCAACCCTTTAATCTTGATCTGTGTGTCTCCTCAGTAAGGAAGTGTGTAACTCCAGCACCATCATGTGTCCTCGCTGTGATAACAGGTGTACAGTGTGGCAACTTTCAGACACCTGCGCCTATGCTAAGGTAAACTGATCTCTTTTCCGACATCCTATAGTCTGGTCCTCCGTTCTCTTCAATCAAATGCTGTAAGTTCACAATAGAATGAGCCTATGGAAGCTGGTTTAAGAGAACAGCTATATACAGTTAGGGGCTGCCAACTCATCAACCTTTGGGAAGTTTAAAGTAGATCACAAAGCATTAGGAACCAAATAATACATACATACATATCTAATGTATGAAAACGTTCTTGTCAAAATCACCAACAATAGCGGCGTATTACTGCTCCTCGACCTCAGTGCCGCATTTGACACCATTGCACATAACATCCTGATCAATAGACTAACACAGTACGTCGGCATATCTGGAACTGCCCTTAGTTGGTTCAAGTCCTATGTCTCTGATAGACAAATCTCTGTTTCCATTGGAAATAACACCTCATCCCTGGCTCCACTGATGTATGGAGTGCCACGAGGTTCTATTTTTGCTCCCATCTTATTCTCGCTGTACATGCTCCCGTTAGGAAACGTCATCAGCCACTTTTATGGGATATCATATCATTCCTATGCTGATGACACCCAAATATACTTGTCCTTCAAGCCAGACAATGTTAGCTGAGTGACTGTCCTAGCAGAGTGCCTACCCGCTATTAAGGAATGGATTTCACTTAACTTTCTTCAATTATCAATCAGACGAGCTAGCTGGTCCCCTGGCAGCCACTATTAAAATAACAGCAAAAAAAATCAAATCGGTTCTATCACTCTCTGATTTAGAAAAGGTAATACATGCCTTTGTTTTCTCCCGCCTGGATTAATGCAATGCCCTTTATTCATGTCTTAGCCTAAACCTGGTATCTTGTTTACAGCTTGTCCACTGCTACCTGTATTTTAACAAATACAAACCGTAGGGCACATATCACGCCAATTCTTGCATCCCTTCATTGGTTACCAGTTAAATTCAGGATTGATTTCAAGATTCTTTTAATAACTTTTTAAGCCCAACATGGGCTGGCCCCAACCTACATTTTGTAGCTCTTGACTCCTTTTAACCCCAGCCGTAACCTCAGATCAGCCAGTCTGTCCCTGTTGGCTGTCCCCAGGTCAAGGCTGGCCACTCAAGGTGACCAAGCATTTTCTGTCAGGGCCCTCGAGGCTCTGGAACTCCTTGCCTGATGAGATTAGGCTTGCTAACTCAATACCGATCTCAAAACTTATTTTTACAGGAAAGCATTTCTAACATGTGACCTATAATTACTTTCACCACAATAATGACACTTGTAGAGTTCACATATGATGTTCTTGAAATCCCTCTCCCCTCCCTTGACCCCACCACCCCATCTCTCTCTCTATTCTTCTCCCTCACTGCCACCCACCTCCTCTTTCCCCATTTCTCTCCACTCACCCCAACCAGGCAGATGGCCTCCCACACTGAGTCTGGTTCTGCCAGAGGTTTCTTCCAGTTAAAGAGGGAGTTTTTCCTCTCCACAGTCACCAAAGGGCTTGCTCATTGTGGGAACTGTTGGGTTTAATATGCCAGTTTCTTACTGCAACCTATGAGAGTAGGTATTTAGTTCAATTTAGGTCAAAAACAAATAAATAGAATAAAAAAGGCACAGAGGTAATGACGTCTGATCTACTGAGCGGGCCACAGGGCTTTCATAGCACTGCCATACAAGCCAGTAGCCAGTCAGATTTACTTTTAGCCTCTCTCAGCTTATTGTGATTAATAGGCTGAAATACTTGATTACACCAAGGTACAATTTAAGTTATAATATTATTTTCATTACAACAACCAGTCTTACAGAGGTCAAATGTGATGGTTAAACTGCTCCGTAGCCCAAACTTTTTTACTGAATTGATGGGGATGTACTACGGGGTAGTGCAAGAGGAAAACAGAAGTGGAGGTCAGATCAGAATCAGAAGTACTTTACTAATCTCCGTATGGAAATTCAAACGTTACAGAGTCCCTGAGAAAGAGGTGAAAGAGCAAAAGCAGGTATAAACTTAGTAATATAAAAGTCAAGTAAGACTACAATGAAATAAAAGATATACATATGTAGAAATAAAGACCGGGTATGTATGGATTTACATTTGTACATGAATGTAAGTTAAAGTATACACAGTATACATTATTAATCTTAATAATTTACAGTTGTCATTATGCAGTTTGACAGCCACAGGCAGGAATGATTTCCTGTGGGGTTCTGTCGAGCAGCGTGGGTCGATGAGTCTGCCACTGAACGAGCTGCAGAGGCTAATCAAGACATTATTGAGAGGGTGTGGCGGAAAGTCCAATATTGTCCTTACTTTGGACAATGTTCTCCTCTCCATCACCACTGTGACACTGTCTAGCCCCCCCAACAACATGGCTGGCTTTCCTGATTAGCTTGTTGAGTCTATTAATGTCCTTCTTCTTCAAGCTGCTGCCCCAGCAGACAACAGCAAACATGATGGCACTGGACACAACAGACTCATAGAACATCCATAGTATCGTTCTGTCTATGTTGAAGGACCTGAGCCATCTCAGAAAATAAAGATGGCTCTGGCCTCTTTTGTAAATCATGTCCACATTTTTTAACCAGTCCAGTTTATTATCTAAGTACACCCCCAAGTACTTGTAGTTCTCCACCATGTCCACACAGGCCCCTTGGATGGTAACAGGGGTCACTGTCCCCTTCGACCTCCTAAAGTCCACCACCAGTTCCTTTGTCTTTGACACATTGAGCTGTGGGTGGTTTTTACAGCTCCATGTGACAAAGTTGTCCACCACAGTCCGGTACTCACTCTCATTACCATCCTTCTACTGCAGAGTCATCAGAAAACTACTGAAGGCGGCAGGTCTCTGTGCAGTAGCTGAAGTCTGTGGTGTAGAGAGTGAATAGAAAGGGAGAGGACAGTCCCCTGAGGAGTCCCAGTGTTGCTGACCACTCTGTCTGACATGCAGCACTGTAAACGTACATACTGTGGTCTGCCAGTCAGGTTATCCACAATCCAGGACACCAGTGGGGCATCCACCTGCATCGATGTCAGCTTCTCACCGAGCAGCGTCGGCCTGATGGCGTTGAACGCACTGGAGAAGTCAAAGAACATGACCCTCATAGTGCTTGCCGGCTTGTCCAGGTGGGCGTAGACTTGGTTGAGAAGGTAGATGATTGCGTCCTCCATTCCTAGACGGTGCTGGTAGGCGAACTGAAGGCGATCCAGTAGTGGTTGGACCATGGGCCAGAGTTGCTGCAGGACAAGCCTCTTGAGGGTGTTCATGATGTGTGACGTCAATGCCATGGGTCTGTAGTCCTCAGGGTCGCTGGATCGCCGCTGATTTTCCAGTGTGTAGTTTCTTCAGTTGTCTTCTTACCTGCTCAGCAGTGAAGGTCAAGACTGGTGAAGGGGGGTTGTTTGTGCATCCCAGGAAAATGCTCTCAGACAGGGTATCTGCAGAGGAGGTGAGAGTGAGGCCGTCTGGTGGGGGGAAACAAGGAGAGGAGGGGGAGGGGAAAGAGAGTGGAGTGAGCGGTTGCTGCCGTCCTGCAGAAGAGTCCGTTGGAGGATGGATCGGTGTCACTCCAAATCTATTAAAGTCCAGATTGAATTCATTCGCCCTGTCCATGCCACCATAGACTCCTCCACTTCTGCTTGGCCTGCAACCAGTGATAGTCCTCATGCCACTCCAGACCTCTCGCATGTTCTGTTGGAGCCTCCGCTCCAACTTCCTCCTGTACTTCTCCTTTGCCTCTTTGATCTCCGATCTTAGCTTCCGCTGAATTTCTATCACCTCCTCTCTGTTGCCAGCTCTGAAGGCCCTCTTTTTTTCATTCAGGCTGATTTTTATGTCCTTAGTTACCCACAGCGTTTTGTTGGGGTAACAGCTGATGTTCATGGTTGGGACGATGGTGTCCACACAGAAGTTGATATAACCGGTGATGCACTCTGTCAGCCCGTCCATATCATCTCCGTGGGGCTCACCAAGTGCCTGCCAGTCTGTCACCTGGAGGCAGCCCTGCAGTGTATCATTGTCCTCATCTGTCCATCTCCTGACTGTCTTTGTTGTTGCTAGCAGTCTCTTGACAATAGGCACATAGCTAGGGGTAAACCAGGTTGTGATCTGAACTACCCAGTGGGGGGAGGGGGGAAGAGCTGTATGCCTCTTTAACATTAGCATACATCAGGTCTATTGTTCTTCCCTCTCTGGTGGGACAGCTCACAAATTGGGTGAAAGTGGAGAGTATAGAGTCTAGGTTGACATGATTGAAGTCACCCGAGATAACAATGAATGCACTTGGGTGTTGAGTCTGTGGTGGCAATTTCTGTGAAACAAGCACAAAGTCAAACACTTCTTTCTGAAAGTTTAATTCAGCATCTGCAGATGGACTCATCAGTACACATCACCTGGATGACATTCACAAATGAGCAAAGAACATAGGAGAATCTGTGTTCTTATAACTCTCAGCCCCCTCCCACTAAGCATKCAAAGGTATTTATTACCCTCCTGTAGTTTCACTCAGTGGAGGAGACATCCTGTCCATTTGTTTACATGTTCTGTGGATGACCCCAATCAGAGATACCATGAGAAGCCATAAAACTCAAGTCTCTTAAGCCACCATCGTAAACCTTAAGGTTGCCCTTTCAGATAAACAATTTGGTGAACCATTTGGTAAGTCCTCCACATACATGTCTGCTAATGCAATTTGTAACTCCCTCCCAAGCACAGTCAGACAGCAAATGTTTCCTCTACGGGTCTTTATTGAAGTCTTTTTCTCCATTTGACCGTGAAAACTGGGTTACACAAAGACATACACCATTGGTTGACAAACACAGTATTAATAGAAACAAAGTAAATAACAAACAGACAAACATACCTCGTTGGCTGCATGCTATGAAAAGGAATCTTATCTTCAGGTGCGTAACTACTTCTCTTCGACTCTCTGTGCGCAACTACCTGTGCTTGCTCCGTGTCTCTCACACACACAAGCAGCTCCGCCTCCAACAACACAGCTCAGCGGGGTCGTCAAAATAAAAGTCTTATTTATAATAACAAAAT